TCTGTCGGAATTTTATTTGAACTTTCTGGAACTTGAAAGTTCTGTCGGGACTTTATTTGAACTTTATGGAACTTGAAGGTTCGGTCGGAACTTAATTTGAACTTTATGGAACTTGGAAGTGATTTTAATCGTTGAATGCGGAACTTTTGGTTACTTGGGTTACATTGAACGGATAGCAAAAATCCAAAATTTGCTAAGGGAAGTCGAAACGTTGCCATCTTGCTCAATGATACGTTATACACATTATACAAACTATACGCAACATGCTTGGTAAGCATTAGTCAGGAAAATTAATGCGAGGCAAGATTTTGAGCTCCAAAATACCCTTAATCATTTTCCGAAAATACCCATATTGTAGGGTATTTGACAGTTTTTCTTGAATCAATTACCGCCATCTTGGATTTAAAAATAGCGTCCGAAATCGATTTACAGCCTCTCTACATGTCATCCCTATTCCGTTTCGTGTCCTCACATTGCTCAGCAACATCTTATATGGACAAGCTTTCCAGACATAACATATTATGGAAGTTCATGTGCACACTAGCGCCGTGTAGTGAGAAAGTTCTTAAGGACTTGGTCACCTGAACAACTTTGCTGAAGACAGCAACGTTCTATATGGCCAGGTTCTCGAGATACAGTTTATATAGGAAGCTCACATGCACACTAGCGCTGCGTAGTGAGATAGTTCTGAACCAAAATGAACACCATACAAAAGGACATAATCACTTGAACAACTTTGCTGAAGACAGTAACCTTCTATATGACCAGGATTTTGAGATACAGCTTATATAGCAAGCTCATATGCACACTACCGCTGCGTAGTGAGAGAGTTCTGAACTAATATAGCCATCATCCGAAAGGAATTGGTCACTTGAACAACTTTGCTGGAGACAGTAACTTTCTATATGGCCAGGATCACGAAATATTCTATAATGGACCTATGATCCATATATTATAGCACCGGTCATAAGTAACATAAAATTGAAGCGCCTCTAGCGGCGTAGTTCCCATTTCAACCTGAATCCAATGACACAGGCTTGTTGGTCTATCCCAGTACAAAAGCTTTGTCAAAGACAGTATAGCTCTATATATTGAAACAAATGAGATAATCCAACACAGCCCCTATTATTGAAAATTCCATAAACTGTGGGTATCCTTATTCGCGGATAGCCCGGCAATAAGGATTCCTGACTGTATGTTTGAAATTCTCTATGTAAGTAAGTATTCCCCAATTTATCCTTAAGAATAACCATGGAGTTTTCCATTGACTTGCCTAGGGATAATGATCAGACTTATCTTGAAATTATCTTCAGGATTATATTGGAATTATCCTAAAAGATCTCCAGGAATTCTCCTCAGCATTCCTGAAGTATTCTTCGATAATCGTGAAAAAAGCTCCACAACATTCTGCTGGAAGCACGAATATACTACCAAATTAGCTTTACCAAATTAAAGCAGAAAAAAGTCAGAGCCACCAACAGACCATCGTTAACCAACCACTAATAAATAAATTAAAAAGTCATAAACCTAACCTACCCAGAGTGCCCCTTAACCTTTGCCTCAGCTGCCCGCTTATTTATGCCCTACCCACCCGGAAAACCCGAAAATACCATAAAACTAATCCTCGACTAATCTAATAATCACTTTAATCGGGCCTACGGACCGCCATCGGCAAACAATGCACTATGGTCCGAAACGGAAATTTAGCGGGCAAAAAATATTTACTTCTTCTCAATTCATTGTAGGTGCCTGTAGTGTCTCCGTAGAATTTGTATAATATTAAATAGGCTTTTTTTTTATAAAAAATTATGATTAGGGTGGTCGTCATTTTAACATCAATCAGGAATCTAACTTTTTGTTTTAAGTTATAGGGTAGAGAACTACTTCGGCATAATCGCCCATTTCGGGCCTATCGAGCATAAAACATCAAGTAAATCCATGATTTCAGAGTTAACAAGTCAATTATACGTTTGGTACGATACTTTAGTTAATGAGCTACCGAACGAAGTCAATGAGAACGCGTGATATGAAGCTTTGCACCTATTATTCCCAAAAACAAAAAAAAAGCGCTCCGACCGAATCAATTTTTATCATCATCCGATAGGCCGAAGTGAATTCAGTGGCGTTTCAATGGCGTTTCAATGCGTTAGGCCGAGTTTAAAATCAGTTTGGCGTCAAGAAGCAGTGTTAGACTTTTGACAATATCTCAACGATTGGTTGTTCTTTATCAAATCTTACGGTACGTACGGAAAGGTAAATTAATTTGGAAGCCATCAGTGATAATAACATTCCGTTTGGTGCTAAACTGCGCTAGATTAAGAAAGACTAAGAGCGGGTTGTGCTTAATAGGCTGGAAATGGGGTAGTTAACCCTATGTGGTTACATTTTCTTGCAAAGGTGTGGCCAAAAATATGTCAAGCGACATTGCTCAAGACACCATTTATCTAACTCTTCATTTGTGTTTCACTTTTCTGCTTTAAATTAGGGTGCCTATAAAATCACAATTTTTATATTCTAACTTCATGGTTTCAAATGTTTCGAAAAAGTGGTCTGGAGAAGAGTTATAGGGAAAATTATCACGCACGTTGCCTCGATAAATAAACGAACTATATAAGAAAAATTGTTAAAAATAATTTTAACTAAAAAAACATGCAATCTGGAAATGTCAATATCGTAAGTAGTTGGATAGTTAATTTTATAGTTTAGATTGAAGCTGCGAGAACAAGTTTTTTTTAATGGAGTAAATATCAAGAAGAGAACACAAAATAAATCCATGATTTTGGCGTTAACAGATAAATTATGCGTTTGGTACGATACTTTAGTTCAAATGCTACCGAACGAAATCAATAAGAACGCGTGATATCAATGTTTGCACCCAATATTCTTAAAAACAAATGAAGCGCTCCGACCGCATCAATCTTTATCTTCATCCGATAGGCCGAAGCAAATCCACTGACGTTTAAATGCGCTAGGTCGAGTTTAGAATTCGTAGGCCAAGTTTAGAATTCAAAGGCCGAGTTTGGCATCAAGAAGCAGTGTTAAACTTATAACAATATCTCAACAATTTATTTCTCTTCTAACGGTACGTACGAAAAGGTAGATAAATTTGGAAGCCATCAGTAATAATACCATTCCGTTTGGTGCTAAACTACGCAAGACTAAGAATGACTTAGTGTGGATTGTGCTTAATAGACAATAAATGGGGTAGTTAAACCTAGGTTTAAAAAATACCTAACCATTATTTGAAAATTACGTGTAACTAAATACATCATATTAACAATATGATCCAATGATGCCCTTTTTAAACATTGCTTTGGTGACCCGAAAATATTGCCTCACGCACCACCTAGCGTTTTTCAAGTTAAGTCAGCAACAATCATTCGACAATTTGAGGGCCACGAACATAGCACTTATTACAAAAATAAATGTCAAATTATTTTCCTAATTACGTTTTGTATATAACATGAAAATTTGTCTGACGTATCACTGCTGTAAGCAAAAAAATCATGAAATGCATACATTTAAAATATTATACACATTTGCATTTGGTTTACCCCTCGTGAAGCCACAGAGGCGCTTTCATCGTTAAAAATTTGGTTCGCGAGCTAAGCGAAAGAGTGGATAATATTTGTATTATAATATATTTGATGTAACCCATACTCGCCTGAATATTGCAACTTGTTGTGTTCTCAAATACTTAGCTCACCAAATATGTGCACAATAATTTTCCATAAAACTCGTCTCAAGAACACTTTTTCGCAACAATTTAAAAAAAAGTTAGAATAGAAAAACCTATTTTTTTATGGGCACTCTATTTACGAGCAGAAAAATGGTGAAATGAAGAGCAAGAAATACTGTGCCTTCAACAAAGTTACTTGAAATGCTGAAAAATTGCTGGAAAATGTAACCACATATTTCTTAAACCGAAAAAGTTTGATGCCTGATTTAAGTTAAAATGTAGATCCCCCTCATCGTCATATTTAAAGAAAGAAGGTCAATTTTATTATAAACACCGAACACCGAAACAATAAATCCCTAAAATTAATGGAATCGGAATAAATATTTTTTATCCCACTTAAATACCTTTTTTGACCACAGTGCAATGTTTCCATGTGAATCGATGCTATGCTGTTTTCACCTCTCTTGTGTATCTTATGTATGTGAGTAACAGAATGTTGCCCAGTTTTATCACTTTTATCTATTGGGACCATCTGCGGAAGTAAGGGACATGTGTAATTTGTGTTTTCCCCTCCGAATAAAGCCATGATTGCAGGCCGACGGCTCTTGGTGGTGAGGGAAACAGGGGGAAAACTGTGTACCAAGCAATAAAATATGTGAAAATGATCTGGCAGAAATGTTATGGTTAAAGTAATTGAAGCTAGCTAGTGGTAATCCACAATCAACAGCTAGCGGAAGACTTTAGTGAATCAAGGAAAGGATATGAAAGTGCATTCAAATTATTATCAAATGATAAACGTTAACTACCTCTTGCCAACATAATTACGACACCAAATAAAAGGCATTCAAACAATACAGCAAATAGAAGCAAACAGCAAACACCAAGATGATGAAAAGCAAAACTGTAACTCTAAACGCTACTTGCTACTGGTGACTACGAATCTATAGGAAATTAAAACGATACCGGTGATGACGGAACTGCTTTCTCGTGATTCCAAAAGCAAAAACCTAAAGCGGATACACCCAAAAAATAAACTGTCACAACTTGATCAAGAGCTTGGGAAATGAGCAAGAAAAACAAGGATAAATTTAGCAATAATGCTGCTGCCTGCTTGAGTTTAATGTTATCACACAAAAGCGACTGATGTGTGTCTGTCTACGATTGTGTAAAATATCTTGTGTGATGGTATAAAACAAACAGAACAGAAACTAAAAAGGTGGGGTGAACATTTTTTTTATGGAGAAACTGAAGCAAAACAATAGTACGATACTGTGACATTGATAATAAAATCATTGGAAAAATTCATTTCAATCAAAATTACCTAGGAAAATGTCGTCATCATCGATATTTTGCTGATTGGCGAGCGTGGCGATAGCTGCCATAATTCTACAAAATTCAATTAATGAGGGTGGCGGTAGCAGCACCACGCTCAATGGAGATCGGACCAAAATTTCACCCGACAACATTCAAAAGTGAGCGGGTCACGGCGCTTACCTGAAACGAAAAGATAGAAAATTAAGTTAGATAGAGTTTTCATTCGGCTACGTAGAACATAATACACAAATTGAACTTATTCGAGTTGCAACATACCACTTCTCAAAAGTATTCACTTCGACCATAATGGAGTAATTTATCGAAACGAATCCACACACAAAAGTATAAGTCTAATAATACAATTAATTGTAATGGGTCAAAGCTTCACATTGGTTCAAACACCATAATGGCAATGGCGATGCAAGTGATGAGATTTTCTCGTCCACAAGTTTTCCACTCGGGCGTTTACTATCAGAAAGATTTCTTCGATAGATGTAATCAAGTCACCATAAGCTCCCCACCAGTGCCAGAAAAGCTATGGTGAAAAGAATCTCACCGAACAAGATCCATTTAGCAGAGCCAGCAAAAACAGAATGCTGAAACTTTTACCTTTTCAAGCCACCGTACTCCGGATGGAAATCACTATAAACAGCGTTGAAACTTGGATGCATCTTCTGATACACCTTCCATTTAGCTTACCTGTACCACAACTGAAGCAGACCGATCCGTACATAATGTATTATCTATCTACATTTTTTCGATGAGCATTTTCATCAAACTTTTATGCCATCGCTACTGGGTGGTGTTGTTGCTGGCAGGCATACCAGCAACTTGTAGATTTTAGCAAAATGAGAAAACATTCTTCTTGCTTTCTTTTACAGCATGGAAAGTTCAACACATTTACCGAAAAAGAAAGTTGATAAAACGGAAAACTTATCACTTTTTGTTTAATCCGTGCGAATTTCGCAGGATCATATCAGATCGTAAAAAATTGTGGAAATTATGCTTTTAGCAGGAGAGAAATGGATTTCGCTCAATATCAGGGATATGTTCTTCTGCACATTTTTAAATTAAGTTCGATCAATTTTCAATATCTCCCCTTAAAAAAAAAACAGGCAGTTGTGCCAATATCGTGTAAGCACCACCTGAAGAAAAATGTCACCCGTAGATTTAAAATATTCTCCATAAACCAAGAAAAATTATCAGTCAAAGAGATAAAATGTTCCATAAAAAGTATTAAAGTGATCCCTAAAAATACTGCAATGTTCAAAAAGAAATATGCAATGCACCATTACAAATATGAAAAATGGCAAACATACTTCTGAATATAAAAACCAAAATTTGATCCATAAAATATTGCAAAACGTTCCATAAAAACATCCAAATGATCCATAAAACATCGGAGAAAATCCTTAAAAAAGTGTGAATGATCCATAAAAAATATCAATATGATCCATTTTTTATGAAAAATTTAGCAACACAATTGTAAAAATTTACCGCTAAATTTCTAAAGAATGAGCATTGAAATTGTACGAATTACCCATAAACATATTGCAATTGATCCATAACATAATGAAAGCAACTTCCTCAGAGCAGTCTCGTTTTGGACATCTTGAAGCTGAAATAAGTTTTATTAACTAATATAAAATCTAAACCAATATTAATGCTTATAATAAAACCTATTTCAGCTTCAACCTGTCCAAAACGAGACTGCTCTGAGGAAGTTACTTTCCTTAATCCAAACATTCTTGAAGAACAACATCGGATATAACCTCAAAATGTCAATGGGATCAACACCACCGTTGAGTGAAGAACAGAACAGCGATTAAAACTGTATGCTTTGTGAAGGCCATGACCACGTAGATGATATGGTCCAGTGTGATGTCTGCGATTTCTGGACCCATTATAGTTATGCTGGTAAGACAACAGCTGTAAACGAGGTTCCGTAGACGTGCTCGAAGAGCACAAATATGCTGAAGGTGCCGAAAGGAACTAAGAAGTTTGTCCCAAAGAAACCACCTAGCAGAAATAATAATGCGAGGAGTGATGCCGGATCCGAATCTGGAAAAGGAAGTACCAATGAGGTCATCCTGGAGGAATCCCTAGACATGTTGCAGCAGGAGAAAAGCGCAAAGGAGAAAGGTCATTCTTTAGAAATTTAGCGGTACATTTTTACAATTGTGTTGCTAAATTTCACATAAAATATTGATAATATTGATATTTTTTATGGATTATCCACACTTTTTTAAGGATTTTCTCCGATGTTTTATGGATCATTTGGATGTTTTTAATGGAACGTTTTTCAATATGTTATGTATTTTTTTTATCAATTCTGAAGATACATACTTAGGGTTGCCATGACAAATTCCATAAACTTCAGAGATGTTCAAGGAACATTTCGAAATAAGAATTGGCAAACATGGTTGAATATGCTTATTCCATATAAAAGACTAAAGTGGTAATTTTTATATTATAGATGAGGAGATGAAAGTATAGAGTTGATAGTTCTGTTAGAGTGCGGCAGTGTGAAAATTGTATATAGAGAGAGAAAGCGAGCAAAGACAACTTTTTAGGAAGGTCCAAATCGGCTTGATCATCTCTCTTTACCAAACGCCCACGTTGGAGAGGGATGGTGAGGGGTAGTCCCCCCCCCCCCCGCCACCACTGTCAAAAATAGATGATCGCCGACTCGCTCATGTACCGCCGATGTGTTTGAAACAGTTCTATCGATTTTACCGCACTCAAGTTGTTATCTGAAGGAGACGAACCAGCCAAAGGCTTAAAGTTTCTAAAGTAACCTGAAGGAAGGCATCCAGTCGTAGGTTTGGAAATTGCAGCTATTGTTACCTCTACCACGGTATGTGCCCCTGTCATCGTCGACTTGACGATCTCAAGGGGACACGGGTAGGGTAGGGGATGTTTCTCAGAGTCTTAAACTATGTTAATCATCGATCGAGTTTCCACTTGCTGCAATTACGGCCTCCACACACTTCCGGAATGCACGGCAGGCTCTAATAATGTAGTCTGGATCCATTTCTCTCCAGGTACGGGTCAATGTTTATCTGAGGCTTGCTGTACTCGGGTGGTGTTTAGAACAGGCCTTGGCGTTCATGACGCGCCATATTGAGTAATCCAGCGGATTAGGATCGGGGCTGGATGGCGGCCACATATCCTTCGCCCAGAACGGAAGATGTTCCTGCAACAACTTCTGAGTACGGTTCGAGGTGTGGCACGGAGCCCCAAATTGTTGATCCACGGAAGAACATACTTACTTAAAATCCCGATGTAGACCTCCGTGTTGACCTTGGCGCCTTCTGGAATGAACACCGGGTCAATTTTTTTACCATCGGAAGCCACCAATCCAAACACCATAACGCTAGCAGGATGCTTAGTCAGATACATTTTATTATGCTCGTCGGCCGCTTGTTTTACCGGAAGAGAACTTATATACCGGTCGGTTCTGGAATTTGATACGGGATCGACGGTAAACATGCTCTGTAGGTGAACAGGATTACTGAATTTTTTCGCTTAAGGAAATTTTTCTTGCATCGTTTGACTCGTAGCCCCCGGATGCGGTTGGTAATCATGTGAGTTTTTTTCCGTGACCTCGACAACGCCCCGCAATCTTCCTTTACAAGCTTCCGTGCCGTAAAGTCACTGATCCCGTGTTCCTTTGCCATTTTCCTTATTGAACGCACTGGATTCACCCGAATCTTCCTTTTGATAGCAGCGATAACCCTCGGAACCCGAGCTGACCTCGGACGACCTGTGGCCACGGATAGTTGTCCTTTCTTTTCTCGGTCTAAAACCCTTTTGACGGTCCACCGGGACACTCCCACGGCGATTGAAATGTCTTTTTGCGACATTTGCGCGTGGGACAAATCACGAATACGCTGCCACTTCGTCATGGAGTAACTGTCTAACTAAGTAAATCATTTTCTTTTATATACAGCCTACTACGGTATGAGCTATAGGTTACGTGCATGCAAAGAAAACCAAGGCATTGTATGCACAGGTGAAACGGAAACCTTATTTGTACGATGGTGCAAAAATTATCACGCATACGGTAGTCAAAGTACATAACTCTGGATGGGAGCTTACCATCAATTACTGGTTACAATATAGTCTGGAATCAACTCGCTAGGTGGTGCAACAAAAGCTATCTTATTCAGTGTTCGGAAAAAAACTCAAATCTCATGCGTGAGTTTATTCGCCAATGATTTTTGTCTGGCAAATTTCAACTGAGCATGAGCATGAGCATGATTTACCGCCCACGGTTTGCTACTCTGTTATAGCCAGATCAGCTGTAATTACACAGAGAACCAATAGACGATGCTTGGGACTAGCAATCATCCTCAATGTGTAAAAACTGGTGATCTAAAACCCAAACACAGACCAAAAAAGGAATAGGTAGGAATATGTTGACATGACACTCGCTTTGATGGAAGCCGAGAACACCTCTACACTTCCACGAGGAATCACTGGGATATTGGGTACGAGGGTTGGGATTGCAACAAGTTTAGTTTAGGTAAACGATAAGCTGAATTGATGGCCTAACGATCATATAACGCGAAGGAGCTTGGGATTGAACCCATGATATTCTGCACAGTAAACAAAAACGTTTGTCACTAGGCAAACGAGCTCTTTTTATTACAACACACCAATGATCGATTTGTTGTTATTCCAATGTATTCACATTAACAAGTAAAGCGATTAACGAATCTTGAATGTGAATGAGATTTAACTCATATCGCATCATACAAGCTACGATTGCGTTGTTATTGCAACCATTAAAACCGGTTCTAAGGTGTTGTTGATAACGATGTTAAGATTCACAGAACACACAATTATCAAGAAATATTACTATAAGCCTCCTTAATATGATAGGACCTGCGATTTATTCAAACTCAAACTCGACGGCGGTGCCCTTTACACAAGAATAAGCCTCTACGAGCAATGATCTTTTAAACCTGGAGGCATAAAACCTACCAAAAAGTGCTTATGCACAGGAACAAATCCAATCTCCGAAATGAGAAAAATGACTCATGATTTCATGAACATAGCGTATTTTCATGTTATGAAAATACACCATGAATAAAATCATAGCTCCGCTGCATTATGAAATCATGAATTTCCATGACGAAATCCTGAATCATTGTTATGATTTCATGGGATGGCAA